CTTTAAATTTTCCTGACCAAATTTACAAAAACCAGTTTTAAAAATATCAGAGTCACCACTCTTTTCTTTCTTATCCACATACCTTACCATCCATCTTCACCTCACTTAGCTATTTGTTAAGCATCAGAGAAGAGGAAGATGGGGAGGGAAACAGGTAGGAGGAGGGGGAAATTTATTCCATGTCAACAAAAATAATTATGATAGAAATGTATGCAAAATTATATGCCAGTTCATGAAGCTGATCATGCTGGAAAAGCTGTGTCTCATTCATTCCTTATCCATTAGTTTTTGAAGATGTGATCAGAGAGAACAGGATCTCCACTGACAATTAAGGAAAGCAGGCTAACTCGGAGGATATGGAGCCACAGTTCTCTCTCCCAATATTCTGTGCGTGCAGAATATATAGAGAAAAAAATAAAAAAGAAACACTTTTGTAAATACTATTTCCTGTCTTTTCAAAACATATTGTCTGAAACAGCTGTCACGTTTTGGAAAATAGGTGGGCTAGCCTTGATTTTTCATGTGAGAAAAAACATGTACAGCTGGCCCAGCCTATAGAGTTGTATCTGGCTCCTTCATGTGTTTGTGTAGTGTGTGTATCTGAACGTGTGTCTATCTGAAGAGGGCCTGAGAGTTACGCTTGTCACAAAGCATGCTAGTGGTTCACATCAATAGAGGTAGGTTACTCCATTAAAAAAATAAGTTTGTTATCTGAGTGTAAATATGCATAATTTTGGCCAGAAGTAAGCACTTATGTTTAGCTAAGCTGCCAATTAAAAAGTTTGATAGCTATAATGGACAGTGATTATCATAATATTCATTGATTATTAATAAACATTTACAGCAGTTTAGTATCTAATGGTTGCTATATATTGGCTGTCTTGACTTCAGCTAAATTGCTGCTTAATATTCTGTTTATCCTGAATTAATGCTTGTTACTCTCTGCCTGAGAACCTTTACATAAATCATTATTAGTTTAATTCATAAGGCCAAGTGTTACATACAAAGTTTGTGTTTTTGACATTTCATGTCAGGAAACTGGTTTTTCTGCTATTTGGTTAATGAAATTCCATTTTACCTAATGCACAATCTGTCTAAAATTTACTATGTACATTATCATTCATGAGTCCAAAAACTAAAAAAGAAAACAAACCCTTAAAAATATATCCTGTTTTTGGTCCTCTTCATTCACAATTGTAAGATTTTTTTAAAAAAATGTATTCCACCTTTATTATTTTTTATAAATAACTCAAGGTAGTGACCATACCTAATACTCCTTCCTCCTCCTACTTTCCCCACAACAACAACCCTGTGAGGTGAGTT